TACTCAATAAATCAAACAGGAATAGAACAAAGTAGAAAGTGAGGAAGATATTGTATCTCGGACATGTTACACACACCGTGTAGAACATGGAGCTTTTCGTCAACAAACCCACAATGATCTTGATCAGGGTTCGAACCTAAGCATGGAATGTTCCCAGATGCGTCTCTGTATATATTTATATATTTGATATATCACGTTATTGTGATTCCTCTGTGTATGGTGCTTTTCCTCAGCTGCTCAGACAAGCTGCTATCATGGCTTGGGTCCGCTGCATCAGCGGACAACTGCTGACTATGCTTCCAAGATCACTTGGGCAGCAATATAGATGACTGTGAACCACCTGAGCAGGTGTACAGTCACATACAGGTACTCTCAGCTGGTGCTGTGCTCCAGCAAGTAACATTGGGACGCACAGGGGCACCGCCCCCCTGCCCCCCCCCCCCGGGTGCACTAATCATGGGATAATTGCTTAACGACCTCCTGTCACTTTCTCAGAATTTAATTGTCTCACGTGAGCCATTATGAGTATGGCTGTTGTCGTCCCGTCTGGCCGGCTCTTCACTCTCCTCTCAACGAGTGACGTACGCACCTCGTAACTGAGGGTTACGACGTCATCCAAGATTAATTACATCTCTTTCATATCTCTATTGGTTGTTTGGTAGTGTTTACTCAACTATTTGTGTCTGCTGGGTCGAGGATTAGCTCTTGGATCCCGCCTGGCTAGCGTCATTTGTTTAAAGCAATGACTCCTGTCCTACTTCTCTGTCAATCGTAACTAGTTTTAAAGCTGTGAATAGTGTTTGCTACCGCAATGTGCCTCTTTATGCAGGCGAGGAGTCACAATAATGTGGCTAAAGTATGCTGACCAGACCACACACTAGAAGGTGAAGGGACGACGACGTTTCGCTCCGTCCTGGACCATTCTCAAGTCGATTGTCGCTAAGGTATGTTGACCAGACCGCACACTAGAAGGTGAAGGGACGACGACGTTTCGCTCCGTCCTGGACCATTCTCAAGTCGACTGTCGCTAAGGTATGTTGACCAGACCACACACTAGAAGGTGAAGGGTCGACGACGTTTCGGTCCGTCCTGGACCATTCTCAAGTCGATTGTCTTGAGAATTCTCACAATCGACTTGAGAATGGTCCAGGACGGACCGAAACGTGGTCGTCCCTTCATTTTCTAGTGTGTGGTCTGGGGCCAGATTCACGAAAGCACTTACGCAAACACTTACGAACCTGTACATCTTTTCTCAATCTTTGAGGGCTTTGTTTCCAATTATTAAACAGTTAATGAGCTCCGACGCACCAGGAGGCTGTTTATAACATTAACAACAGTTGATTGGCAAGTTTTCATGCTTGTAAACTGTTTAATAAATGTAACTAAAGCCGTCAAAGATTGAGGAAAGATGTACACGTTCGTAAGTGCTTGCGCAAGTGCTTTCGTGAATCTGGCCCCAGGTCAACATGTGCCTCTTTACTTCATTCTATTTCTCCACTACTCTCATGCTATAAGAAAACTTCCTAACATGTTTATGACTCATCTGAATTTCCAGCTTCCACCCATATCTTGAGGTTATCTTGAGATGATTTCGGGGCTTTAGTGTCCCCGCGGCCCGGTCCTTGACCAGGCCTCCACCCCCAGGAAGCAGCCCGTGACAGCTGACTAATACCCAGGTACCTATTTTACTGCTAGGTAACAGGGGCATAGGGTGAAAGAAACTCTGCCCATTGTTTCTCGCCGGCGCCCGGAATCGAACCAGGGACCACAGGATCACAAGTCCAGTGTGCTGTCTGCTCGGCCGACCGGCCCATTCTTCTTATTCTGTTGGTAATCCTTGTGAACATTTCGTCTATTTCCACTCTCTGTTATCATATCTCCCCGCTCCCTCATTTTTCTAACGTCGTCAGGTTTAGTTCCTTCAGTCGCTCTTCATTTTCCATCTCATGCAACTCCGAGACAAGCCTCGTCGCAAATTTTTGAGCCTTTTCCAGTTTCTTAATATGTTTCTTTAGGGGGGGCTTCATGATGGGGGCTGCATACTCTAAGACTGGTCTCACGTAGGTAGTGTAAAGCGCTCTGAATGCCTCATTAGCTTTCTGAATAACGGTCTAACCTTTGCTAGCGTAAAGTACGCTGCTGTCGTTATCCAACTTTTATGTGCCCTCAGGAGTTAGATTTGGTGTTACGTCCACTCCCAAGTTCCTTTCTCGAATCGTCACAGAAAGACAGCTGACCCTTTGGTCAGCTGTCACCTCATCCCATTTCTATTACTTTACATTTACTCGTGTTGAACTCCAGTAGCCATTTCTCTGACCATCTCTGCAGCTTGTCCAAGTCCTCTTGGAGTATCCCACAATTTACTTTCTAACCAATTTATTTCTCCTGTATTATGTCAACTGGATGCGTATGTTGCCAGCTGTATGATGTTCCCCCGGCCACCACAAACTATAATGAGAAGTGGTTAAAGAAGTGGTTAGTGGTCTCGCTTCATGCAGGTCGGCGTTCAATCCCCGACCGTCCAAGTGGTTGGGCACCATTCCTGCCTCCCGTCCCATCCCAAATGCTTATCCTGACCCCTTCCCAGCGCTATATAGTCGTAATGGCTTGGCGCTTTCCCCCTAATAGTTCTTTCCTTCCTTCCCCCACCAGAGCTCAGTCCACGGAGAGCTCTCCAACGCTCTCAGATTTTCCACCTATGATGGGTTGAATGTCGTACACATAGTTGATATGTAGGTAGACAGGAGGTTATCTTGAGGTTATCTTGAGATGATTTCGGGGCTTTAGTGTCCCCGCGGCCCGGTCCTCGACCAGGCCTCCACCCCCAGGAAGCAGCCCGTGACAGCTGACTAACTCCCAGGTACCTATTTACTGCTAGGTAACAGGGGCATAGGGTGAAAGAAACTTTGCCCATTTGTTTCTGCCTCGTGCGGGAATCGAACCCGCGCCACAGAATTATGAGTCCTGCGCGCTATCCACCAGGCTACGAGGCCCCTCTGACAGGAAGCACGATGCTTCCTGTCTATCTCGGTGCTTCAATCACCAAGAGTGGACAGCGATATCCATATAACCAAATCATATTTATATTTGTTATGTGTGATAAGGCTCACGACTCTGATGGCAGCTCTTAGTTCTAGAGAGCTCTTGAGGCTATCGACAGCTCATAGCTCTTGGAGAAGCTCTCAAGAGCTGGAATCAGAGCCAAATCTTATCTATCAATAGAGTTTTCTCGTGATTTGATGTTAGATGAAGGATTGAGTCCCGGTCGGCCTGACTGCTATCTTGAGGTTATCTTGAGATGATTTCGGGGCTTAGTGTCCCCGCGGCCCGGTCCTCCACCCCCAGGAAGCAGGCCGTGACAGCTGACTAACTCCCAGGTACCTATTTTACTGCTAGGTAACAGGAGCATCAGGGTGAAAGAAACTCTGCCCATTGTCTCTCGCCGGCGCCCGGAATCGAACCCAGGACCACAGGATCACGCTTACGTGTCCAGTGCGCTCATCCACCGGCTCCCCTATTACCACAAACATTACTTCACACCTCAATAACAACAAGTTTCTTATCCATTTAATATATTAACTACTACAATATTATATTTAAGACACTTTACAAACTCAGTTTCCTGAAGTTAATTCGCGGTTGTGGCAAGATATCACGCCTGTTATCAGTGACCGCTGCATGTTGACGAACTTGATATCTGCTGCGATGCCACGTCTCTCAGTCCTGTTGGCCATGGGGCCAAGATAACATTTCCTCTTGTGTTATACAATATATGAGAGCTGTTCGTAGCTACATTATTTATGTATGAAATTACAGTTCGCTGTATTTGCCTTGTACGGATTAGTAATTTAGAGGTGTTCGGATTATTAGACATTGCACGCTGCAAGTCTGTTAATACGGGCCGTATAAAAAAAACTTATTGCAACTTATTAATAAAAAATACAACTCACTCGAATGTAATCCAGGGGTCAGATTCACGAAAGAACTTACGCAAGCACTTGCGAACCTATACATCTTTTCTCAATCTTTGGCGGCTTTGTTTACAATTATTAAACAGTTAATGAGCTCGGAAGCACCAGGAGGCTGTTTATAACAATAACAACAGTTGATTGGCAAGTTTTCATGCTTGTAAACTGTTTAATAAATGTAACCAAAGCCGTCAAAGATTGAGAAAAGATGTACACGTTCGTAAGTGCTTGCGTAACTGCTTTCGCCAGATGATTACGCTAGAGACAGTCTTTAGTGCGCTAATCCATTGTATCCGGCACCTGTATGTCTTAATAAGCTGTAGCAACACAACTACGGAATATTTGCTAACCAATAAATACATAATTTTGAACTATACCATAAGTAAACAAATGTAAAAGAATGATCATTGTTCTCTATATACGAGAGAATGTATCTTTGTCCAAGGCTGAAACCTATCTATATACGAGAGAATGTAACTTTGCCCAAGGCTGAAGCCTATCTATATACGATAGAATGTTTCTTTGTCCAAGGCTGAAGCCTATCTATATACGAGAGAATGTAACTTTGCCCAAGGCTGAAGCCTATCTATATACGATAGAATGTTTCTTTGTCCAAGGCTGAAGCCTATCTATATACGAGAGAATGTAACTTTGTCCAAGGCTGAAGCCTATCTACATACAAGAGAATGTAACTTTGTCCAAGGCTGAAGCCTATCTATATACGATAGAATGTTTCTTTGTCCAAGGCTGAAGCCTATCTATATACGAGAGAATGTAACTGTCCAAGGCTGAAGCCTATCTATATACAAGAGAATGTCTCTTTGTCCAAGGCTGAAGCCTGACACTATGGGCCAGCCTCACTAAACTTTGCTAAGTGATCCGTAACTACATATTCAGCGTTATAAGGTGGTGAAGGTTGACCTCCAAGCCCTTCTTCATGTAAGACTATCTTCTATCGCAGCAACCAATCAGATCTATGACATCAGGTGAGAGGAGGTGTGTGCAGGGAAGCTGGTGCTGGAGTGTGTCAACATGTGACTGTGTGGTGTTATCAGTCACGCCTCCAGTCAGGTGTTTGTTATCACCAGTAAACCCCACCCTCACTGATAACACCATACACTCCCCCGGCCTCTATCAGTCTTTACTCTGACTCGCAGCCCATCATGTCAGGTGAGAGGTCTTCATACATTGTACACCACCTCTAGTGTTTATACATGGTACATCACCTCTATGTTCATACATGATACAACATCTTTGGTGTTAAGTCTATGAGCCGCGGGAGAGATATTAAGACCACTTCAGTAGCTTACCAACCACCATGAATACATTAGGTCTGACCATGATGCGAAAGTAAAGCGATTAAATAACATATACACCGTATATAGGCTGCGAAACTTTCACCTTTCCTTCTTTTTGTCAAGTTTAAGTTCAATCAACGTAGCCTAGGGCTATCTTATCTTCAAATTATTTCGGGGTTTGGCGTCCCCGCGGCCCGGTCCTCGACCAGGCCTCCACCCCCAGGAAGCAGCCCGTGACAGCTGACTAACATCCAGGTGCCTATTTTATTGCTAGGTAACAGGGGCATAGGATGAAAGAAACTCTGGCCATTGTTTCTCGCCGGCGCCTGGGATCGAACCCAGGACCACAGGATCACAAGTCCAGCGTGCTGTCCGCTCGGCCGACCGGCTCCCTAGGGGACATATACAGAGCAACGAGCCACAGAATGGTCCGCCATGATGCTACTGATCGATAATAATAAAGGCGCGTGGTTGAATTAATTTAAATTAGTGTCCTCCTTTCTGCTCTTGAACGTGGAAGAAATTCAAATGTAAACAATTAAGAAAAGTACTTTGCGCTTTACAAGTTGTGGTAAACATATACTCGCGTTAAGGAATTATGTCATAAATCTAGGAGTAAGTTTATGTATTATCAGAATTTCTACTGTAATTTGGCTTGTTGGATTTTAATTTTTTTTTATTATATCTGAAATATCCAATTTTCGTATATAATGTTGGCAGTTACACCGCTTTCTTGACAGGTTGATATAATCACCGTCTCCTTGACAGGCAGCACATGATATAACCAGTTTCCTTGTCAGGCAGCACATGATATAACCAGTCTCCTTGACAGGCAGCACATGATATAACCAGTCTCCTTGACAGGCAGCACATGATATAACCACCGTCTCCTTGACAGGCAGCACATGATATAACCAGTTTCCTTGACAGGCAGCACATGATATAACCACCGTCTCCTTGACAGGCAGCACATGATATAACCAGTTTCCTTGACAGGCAGCACATGATATAACCAGTTTCCTTGACAGGCAGCACATGATATAACCAGTTTCCTTGACAGGCTACTCGCAGCAGGCGCCCGTCAACAGCCCATCCACGCCCTCTGCTCCGCCAGCAGAGTCAAACTCCCACGGTCAACTTCAATATTCACAGCAGCCATATCCACCACAGCCATATCCACAACAGCCATACCCACCACAGCCGTATACCCAACAGCCGTACCCACCACAGCCGTACCCACAACAGCCGTACCCACAACAGCCGTACCCTCAACAGCCGTACCCACCACAGCCGTACCCACCACCATACATGCAGCAGCCATATCCCCGCCAACCAGTAAGTATATTCACCTCTTATTTTTTCGTGCAAATATTAATTATAATATACATATAATAATATTTTGTAAATAATTACAGTATTATCGTGCATATTGTAATTATTTACTAATAATATTTCTCCTAAATAGCCGTTGAAGAGGTCAATGAACATTTCTGATCCACAAACAATGCTTATAAATGTGAAATAATTGAAATAAATTTAAAATAACTCCAAACTAAATAGACATATACCTTTATGTCTATTACATCTAACAATGCCTACTAAAATAAACAGTCAAACTTCAACCTACTTTTAGCTTGGAATGAACTAGCCTACTCAATCTAAAACTGATGTTGTAATTAAGAAACTTTAAAAGCAACCTAGCATGGCGAAGCTAGAGGCTTGTATCACTAGATTTAAGTTTTTTTTAGTATGTTAATTTTAATTAAATTTACGGACTTTGTATCGACATTTTACGCTATTGGAGCAGTTGTGAGAAGTGACAGGAAGGTTACCATGTCCGGTGTGGGTCTAGTGACAATATTAAATGCGCAGTGCTTTGTCTTTGTATATTAATGCTGGTTGAGAGAGAGAGAGAGAGAGAGAGAGAGAGAGAGAGAGAGAGAGAGATCGTTGCTTTATGGAACAAATTATTGAGCAACATAACATCGACGGATAGTTTCAAACGTAGGGTTGACATTATATACATATATATTTTGTTTGTTTAATTGTGTATGTGTTCTCACCTAGTTGTGCTAGCGGGGGTTGAGCTCTGGCTCTTTGGTCCCGTCTCTCAACCGTCAATCAACAGGTGTACAGGTTCCTGAGCCTATTGGGCTCTATCATATCTACACTTGAAACTGTGTATGGAGTCAGCCTCCACCACATCACTGACTAATGCATTCCATTTACTAACTACTCTGACACTGAAAAAGTTCCTTCTAATGTCTCTGTATTCACCACAGAAAGGCAGCCCGTCCTCATCAACAATGGCCAAATGCTCATTAATCCAGCAGCCAAATCCCGTTTATAATGAAAATGTTTTACGTGCAGCTATGACGTTCGAACATTACTCGAGCAGTGCTTCACTAACGTTCTCTGTTCGAATCGCAACTCGGTAAATGCTTCACCCACATTTCTTCACTAATACTTCAAACACAAATAATCACATCAGAACCTAAACACCTAGCCTAACCTACGCCTAACTATACAGAGAACTTTAATGACTAATAATGTTGAATTTACATATAAGAAACTTATTTTTAATACACACCGTTAAAATTGATGAGTGTGTCTTAGGGGAGGCGGCCGCTGCTTTAACGAACCTGGCCTGAAGACGGAAGACAGGTTGCCGAAATGCTTGGGCACATTTCCCATCACCTAATGCATCTGTTCACCTAGCAGTAAATAGATACCTAGGAGTTAGCTTGCTGTTGGGTTGCATCCTAGGGGAGAGTCAATAATTCGACCTGGGGGGGGGGGGGGGAAAGAGAACTTTGATACAATCCTAACATGTATCTATACGCAGGCTACCTGTCCCCCGGTAAAAATTAATTCTGAATTAATAAAATTAATTAAATCATACGCATATAATACAAAATATCCTCATACTGCTCATCCGGAATTTGCTGGTGTAGGCTAATAGACTGAACTCATATTCCATGCGTCGTAGCCTATGATCTATGTTCTATAACACAGAGCGGTGATACATACCTATATTACGGGCTCACTATAGCCCCTGATACATGGACAAGGGACACTATAGCCCCTGATACATGGACAATGGACAATATAGCTCACTATAGCCCCTGATACATGGACTATGGACACTATAGCCCCTGATACATGGACAATGGACAATATAGCTCACTATAGCCCCTGATACATGGACAATGGACACTATAGCCCCTGATACATGGTCAATGGACACTATAGCCCCTGATACATTGATACAATCTAAAACATCATCATCATCATACCTGTAATAACTGCAAGTGTGCAAGTTATGAGAAGCTAAACAGTCTTGCATCACGCGCTGTTGTGCACATTAACTGCTAGTGTAATGACAACCTCAAGGTGGCATATAAACTATTGAACAGGAAGTTCAGCACTGTGAACTCACTCACTCCACCCCAAGAGGTTGTAAACATGTAAGGCGGAGGCGGGGAGGCGGAGACAAATGGGCAGAATGTTTCTTTCAACCCTGATGCTCCTGTTCACCTAGCAATAAATAGGTACCAGGGAGTTAGACAGCTGCTACGGGCTGCTTCATGGGGGTGTGTAACAAACAGGAGGCCTGGTCGAGGACCGGGCCGCGGGGGACGCTAAGCCCCCGAAATCATCTCAAGATAAATTTACCTTGCGATGATTTCGGGGGCTTAGCGTCCCCGCGGCCCGGTCCTCGACCAGGACTCCTTACAAACCAGGACTACAAACTCCTTACAAACTAGGCACTAATTATGTTACTGGTGGGTGTTGACAGCCGCCGCCACCAGGCGTGGGAGAACACCAGCGGGTAGTGGTCCACCCGCCACCCGTCATCCATGAGACCATTGTTGTGGAGAACAGGGTAAGTTGGAGGTCTGATAAAGACCTTTTGTGCCCTTTGTAATGCTTTTTGCGCTACCGCAAAAACGGGAGCCGGTCGGCCGAGCGGACAGCACCCTGGACTTGTTATCCTGTGGTCCTGGGTTCGATCCCAGGCGCCGGAGAGAAACAATGGACAGAGTTTCTTTCACCCTATGCCCCTGTTAACTAGCAGTAAAATAGGTACCTGGGTGTTAGTCAGCTGTTACAGGCTGCTTCCTGGGGGTGGAGGCCTGGTCGAGGACCTAACCGCCTCCGGCAACAATCAAATCTCCCTTTCAGACCGTCCAAGTGGTTGGGCACCATTCTTCCTCCCCCCCCCATCCCAAATCCTTATCCTGACCCCTTCCCCAGTGCTATAGTCTAATGGCTTGGCGCTTTCCCCTGATAACGCCCTCCTCCCCTTTCATTACTATAATATAACCCAGTTTTAACTAATTGATCTTAAATCCGTAATATTATCTTAGCCCTATGAATTAATCTTACCCCATAACAATAGCTAATATTAACAAATCTAACCTAGTTAACAATAATTTGTGCAAATCCCTAAAACATTTGATATTGAATTAATTTAAGAAATATATAGAATTTAAGAAATATATATAACTAATTGAATCTATCTTTAGGCTAACCCGATCCATTGACTTCTAAACTGATGTAACCTTAGACTAATATTTCCCCCTAGCTTATTGTAAATATCTTATCATTATCTTATCGTATCATTATCTTATCATTATCCAACTTGCTGCATTAGAAAACATAACCTTAACTTTGCTACACTAACCTAACTTTACTTTAATACTTTAATTTATAACTAAAAAACTTCTCACTTACAAAATTCTCAAAATCAAAATACATATTTTATATTAATCACTATAGCGGTTATATTTTTTATACAAAATGTCAGACATCATCTTTTACTCAAAATACCGGACCGAGTTATTCATAAATCATAATTTTGACTTGAATTATTGTCATTAACTTTATCGTGTTTGAAATTTTATGATTCTTTTTTCACAGCCTAGGCCTGGGGCAGGTCTCGGGGCAGGGCTCCTGCTGGGCATGACCGCTGGAGGACACCATGGCCGTCACCATCACCATCACGACCATCACCATCGCGGCCGTCACCATCACAGACATCACAGGTGGTGAGGCTATATCGCCAATAGCCGCAGCGCCACCATATATCTGATGACGATATAACATCAGACAATGCGCGCTTGCTTTCACCGCACACACGAGCTGATTCATCATAACACCTGCCACACATACCAGCTAATTCATCATAACACCTGCACCACACACCGGGTGGTTCATCATAACACCTGCCACACATACCAGCTAATTCATCATAACACCTGCACCACATACCAGCTAATTCATCATAACACCTGCCACACATACCAGCTAATTCATCATAACACCTGCACCACATACCAGCTAATTCATCATAACACCTGCACCACATACCAGCTAATTCATCATAACACCTGCACCACATACCAGCTAATTCATCATAACACCTGCACCACACACTGGGTGGTTCATCATAACACCTGCACCACATACCAGCTAATTCGTCATAACACCTGCACCACATACCAGCTAATTCATCATAACACCTGCACCACACACCGGGTGGTTCATCATAACATCTGGGCCACTTACACACCAGTTAATTCATCATAACATCTACACCACTTACACACCAACTGGTTGGTCATGTTTACCAACACAGCCTACACCACACACCACACACTTGTGCCACAAATTTCAAGTAACCAATTACATATTAACATAAATAAACGACCATATAGGCCTACAACAAATAAATCATGAGTGATTTGTGACTCAATCGTATAGGGTCTATAAATGATTTAAGACCAATTCAAATTTTGAGGGATATGCCTATAACGGCTACAAACAATATAACAGCCTTTATAAACAAGTTTCCAACAGAATGGCAAGCAACCACGAAGGCCCAGACAAGGTCAAGTAGGCAACATAAGGTCATTAACCCTTAAGCTGCTACAGCCTTAATCATCAACAAGATCCATTCACGTCCTGACCGCAGAGGACCACATTCCTCGGGCACTACCATGAAGTCAAATGAGCATCCCTCTTGCATACTGAGACCCGTGCAACTCTCCATTGTATTTGTATTTGCATACACGTCCGTGTCATGTACTGTACGGCAGGAACGAATATTAAAGTCAAACCAAGTACTATTGTATTTTTCTTTGATTTATCGATTTTTCCCACTGTATTCTCACGCATCTCCTAATGCAGCTCCCAGGTGGTTTATTTTGACAATCGAAGTAAACTAATTGATGGCATTTGCAGCGTAAGTGTTATCATTTATAAATCGGAAGGAACTGATAGCAACTGCATTAACGAGCATTCGGACAATGTTTATACTGACTGATGCAACCGAGCCTAAAAAAAAAAATACTGCGATTAAAGATATTTATTTCTGGAATGATTCTCATGGATTCTATATACATTTTTTTTTTTTTTTTTTTTTTTTTTTTTTTTTTTTTTTTTTTTTTTTGAGATATATACAAGAGTTGTTACATTCTTGTAGAGCCACTAGTACGCGTAGCGTTTCGGGCAAGTCCTTAATCCTATGGTCCCTGGAATACGATCCCCTGCCGCGAAGAATCGTTTTTTCATCCAAGTACACATTTTACTGTTGCGTTAAACAGAGGCTACAGTTAAGGAATTGCACCCAGTAAATCCTCCCCGGCCAGGATACGAACCCATGACAGCGCTCGCGGAACACCAGGCTAGTGTCTTACCACTACACCACGGAGACTGCATAAATATAGAACGTTTCAAATTTGGATTACCATTTATGAATAAGGATTTGTAAGTGTAAATTGCTACAATACTGGGGCATATACATAGAAGTGTACCTAGCATGAACTCTAAAGTATTCTTACTGGTTAGTCAGTAAGCAATTTTGGTTGCCTTAATAACCCCTCTAGGCAGTCTACATGAGGTTGAATCATTAAGTATCCTCATAAACAAAGGCCAAAAGTGATTCCATGCACCCGCCAAACCCCCTGTTTATGCATGAAGAAAGAATTACACACACGACCTGTCCTCGACTCACACAAGTTTCAGCCCCGCTCCTGTGCCAGGTAACTTCATCACGGGCTCACCATAGCCCGTGCTACTTGAAACTTTTAGTTCCCAGTAGCTGAATCTTAAACAACAACAACAACTCGACTCACAACTGATGACGTCCGAACACTTCCGGAACAAGTACTTCGCTGACGAATTTTGTTCGAACCACAACGCTGTAAATGCTTCACCCACGTACTACAAATACAAACACCTAACCTAACCAAACCAATGCCGAAATATGCACAGTATGCTAATATATAACAATATTTTATTTATATATGAAAAATTTCTTGTTTTGAATGAACAGCATGCTAAAATTGTTGAACGCGTCTTTGGGGTCGACCGCTGGATGGAATGGACCGAGGACGGGTTGAATACATACTGAATGCCTTCAAAAATGTTGTTGTAAAAGGTGACCTCAATAGCGTCTGTCAGTTCTGGTGCAAACGTGCTTGTGATCACTAGGCTACTTAATCGTCTTGTAAACGGGGTTTTCTTGGTAATTATTTATCGTTTGTTACACATTTGATTTTTTAGAATGTGAATGGAACTATAGTCAGTTGTACCTGAATCTTATTTAATTACTCGTATAATTATTCTTTGTTAAACTTGCTAATATTAAAGTTTATGGCGACACTTTTAAACCAACTTCCCATGCGCAAAGATTATAGATTCTAGTTCTGCGCGGTTGACGAAACTTGCTAAATGTTAGACTATAGTGTACTGGGTAACTGAGTTTAGTTCCGTGCCTAACTACTCTACTTTTGTGAAGTAAATAACAATTTCCTAAGTTTACATACTCGGAACTTGACACTTGGTGCTTCTAGCTACCCATGAGTTGTGATTGTTTACTAAAACAATGCGGCTATAGTATAAACAAATTTATATAAAAAACGTGAAATGGCTGTTAATTGTTTATAGAGTAAAGTCTTGCACATTTATTTCTAGTGCATTGTAAAGTGTAGGTGAGGGAAGGACAGTTGAAGTCTTCTTGCTCTACTCTGGTATGCAAACTGGCTTTTAACGGCACTGTGTATCGTATCCATTTATCTTATCGAATGTCCCCCTGTATGAGAACACTTGTTCAAAGCTGCATTTAATAAACAAAATTTCACTGAATTTTCCGTAAGGGTGTACTATTGCTACTTTAACTTTTATAATGGTGTAGCAATTTCACAAATGGCTAAATTGCCTATAAAGGCGTTCACTTCACGATGATTACACAGAAATCACAATTGCGTGATTCATCAAATGAACAAATCCACGGCCCTTGTGGATTTGTTCACGATGATATAATGGTTAACACTTTGATATAAACAGACTCAAAATCTTCCCCTCCCCTATCTGAATGGTGTTAAATAGCAAAGAAAATTGTACCCAATTCACGTGACGAATTGTCACGGTGTTGGTGCAGACTTCCTTGATAATAAGGTAGAAAATATATAAACTCTCCTGTTAACCAAACTTCATGCAGGTCGGCGTTCAATCCCCCGGTCCTCAAAGTGATTCGGCACCATTTCCCCCCGCTCCCGTCTCGTCCTTATCCTGATCCCTTCTTTCTATAACAAAAGGTGGTTATAGTAGCAATGGCTTGGTGCTTTCTCCTGATGGCTATTCCCTAATCTTACCACCCGCACCCCAACTTTGGACTGGACGGTAAGGAATTTTCCTCTTGCAGGTCTAAATTAAATTTCCTAAAATTAGTAGTGGGGCACTGTTCCTCCCCTCTAAGTTATATTACTTCAAATTGCTATAGTCGTAATGACTGGGTACCTTCCCCCTACCCTTTGTAGCTCCTAGCAATCTTTGGGCTATTTTTGTTATACCGAAACTAAACGCTCACAATTTCCCGTAATCTCTACACCTGATTGATCCTGACGGCCGAGTGAGCAATACTCGGGGTTCGTAGTCTTAAGGGTCTGGTTTCGATCAGAGGCGGAAACAAATGGGGAAAGTTTTTACCCTGGTAACCTAGCAGTAAATAGGTACCAAAGTTACAGCTGCTAGTGTGAAAATTAGGATTAAGGACTTGAACGAGAATGTGTACTAATGGCTGTACAAGAATGGAAGAAATCTTTTATATAAATATACTTTTTGATTTTGTTAAAAATTTAGTTTATTTGCCTGTAAATTCTTGTACTAACCTTGTAAATAGAGCTACAGTTAAATGACCCTAAAATAACTTGCTAAGTTTCAGATTACCAGGAAATACTTTGCACAGTCGTTACAAAAAATGTAACTTTACATTCTAATCCTAGTATAATTTTTCAGATTAAAGTGTACGTAACTTTGAAACTACTAATAATGTATCCAGTGAACCCACCTTGCGTCACTTGCCAAGCACCATCAGGCCAAACAGTGTATCAAACTGTTGAAACTCTGCCTTGTCAGCCACATGTCTCTTGCCAGGCAAGTCAAGAAGCCTCTGCAACATACAGCATCTCCCAGCCGGTCGTCGTGCATCAGGCTACTGTATCCTCTACTGTGCAGTATACAACCCAGCCCTCTGTAGAGTACTGTGCCCAGCCTTCTGTGCAGTACACAACCCAGCCTTCTACTACTGTGCAGTACACGACCCAGCCCTCTGTACAGTACTGTACCCAGCCTTCCACCACTGTGCAGTACACAACCAAGCCCTCTACAGAGTACTGTACCCAGCCTTCTACTACTGTGCAGTACACAACCCAGCCCTCTGTACAGTACTGTACCCAGCCGTATACTGTGCAGTACAGCACTCAACCTTCTGATGTATATCTTGGCCAGCCCTCGTGCGTGGGGTGGCGAAGGTCTCTCCAAATTAATGCACACACCCCATCCGTCACGGTAAGATTTTTAAGTAAAGTTTGTCGGTCTTTTCAAAACTTTATAGTCATTTCATTATATTCAATATTAAAGTCTTGAATTTCTGGACTAACGTAGTAACGGGCACGGTTCTTGACAAGTTTGCTAGAACTTGAATAAAATTATTAGCTACTGTTTTAAGGCACGTTTATTGAATTTTTTTTTCTGGTTAGAGCCAGGATAAACGCACTACTTTGTATACCAGAAAATTTTCAGCATGTCGGTGGACATAATTACAAATTGACTGATGCTTTTGGGTAATGTTGCCATAATACACGCATAAGCGAATTTAAAATACTGTGTATCACTCTTATATTCGGCACTGTTGACTAATTGCATTTTCAGCATAACCAAAGTACCTTCATGCAAGGTAGAAAGCTGGGCGCCCATAGAATAGGGAAGTTACTAATCAGTCGGCAGCCCGTCCTCTCAAAGGCGAAAGTAGATTCCATGCACCTGTTCACCCGTTCATAACGGGGGGGGTACTGTTTACAAAAGACTCGACCGATTACGTCCCAACACCTCCAGTAACGAGTACTTGGCCGACTAATTGTTGCTAGCACAACGCTGTAAATGCTTCACCACGTATTAAAAATTGCCAACGGAACCTAAACGCCTTAATATGTACAATAGAATAAGTGTAGAATTTATAAAAATTACTAACTTTAACCTAAAATTGCCGAGTCTTTGGGGTCGACCGCTGGATGGAATAGACCTTGTCTGAGGACGGGTTGCTATCTTTGAAGGCTGCGGTGGGGAAATGTGCGCTCTTCCCCCCCCCCCTCCCCCTCTTTCCATAGTGCCAAACATGAACAGACATTCTTGGTATCGCTTCAAAAACTGTCACTTCAGTTTTGTACTAATTAACTTTTTTCTTCAGGTATGTGTTCAAAGGTCTCCAGCAGTCTGCCACAAAAAATTTCCCCATTATTAAAGACTACTGATGCCAAGGATCTACAGGGAATGGCTCTGCAAACAGTTGTTAAAATTCGCATTGTTTTAATAAATTTAAAGTGAAACTTGTCTTGAGCTACTAAGGAAATTACTCAGCATTTCGTGTGCCAATTTTTATTTTAACTAGATTTTAATTTAAGGGGTAATTGTCTCCACCCTTCAGAATAAAATTACCATTACACATTGCTTCTGAAGGAAAGTCTAAAATATTTTAAGGCTGGGTACTACGGCTCAAATTTCTATTGTTAGTATTCTACTGGAAAATATTAGGGTTAAGGATGCCAGTCATGCCTACTAAAATGTTAATTTTTATTTTATTGTAAAATTTGATAAAATCTCCTAGACTTTAATTTATTTTTCCTCTTGTTCTCTTACTTCTAATTAACCATATGATTTTTATGGGTTACACAGTAACTTGTATGGCTAAAATACCCTGACCCACGGAAATTTAGCCTTGTGTATACTCTTAGAAACCAAAGAGGGTGGGGGGGGGGGGTAGCCTTAGATGGGCCTCCCAACCCTTTTAAGTGTTCCTACGTACGGCATGGAACACTGGGACACCTATTTGCTTAGTTCTTTAGACTTGTTATTTAATTCCATCCACACCCGGGGCTGTTTTTTTTTCAGTGCCATTTCTGGTATGTAGCAAATTATGGTTATATCCATAAATTCATTCCCTTCATCTTCAAACATTTGTGTGGGTAATGTGATGTAATCTTTCTAGTGAAGATGTAAAATATTCAGTTTGAAACCCTTTTATCGTCCATTATAACTTTGCTTCATTTATTCCAATCCTGACCCCCTTGCTCTTAATGACGGTGAATACTGAGCTAAATAAAGTCCATCTTTGGTTAACTGCCAACAAACTCGCCCTGAACATTGATAAAACTTTCTATATTTTGTTTGGCAATAAATCTTCAAATAAAAAATCTCAGGATAAATAATACCCAAATTTGTAACAAAATAGATGGCAAATTCCTTGGCATTCTCATTGAACACAAACTGAATTTCCAGGGACACATTCTAAATATATGTTTCAAAAACCGTTGGCATTCTTTCTAAAATGAGATTATGTACCTCGCCCTGCCCTGGTGACACTCTATTACTCCCTCATATTTCCTTCTCAATTATGGTATTTGTGCTTGGGGTTCTACTACTCAATCATTTACGTCCTCTAATTACTCAACACAAAGCTGATATTAGGAAAATGTCCAACTCTGGCCCCAGACAGCACTCGGTACCCCTACTCAAATCTCTGAATGCTAGATATCAAGTCGCTGCACATCCTCTCTCTCGTGTGTGTGTGTGTGTAATGCCAATCCTGACCTTAAAAGCTTCATTGAAGGTTGTAACAGAACCCATGAGCACCACACCAGAAACAAAAATACCTTTTTGATATTCCAAGAGTATGACTTAATCAAATAAGAAATGCTCTACAAATCAAGGGACCCAGAATGTGGAATGATCTTCCCAATCATGTTAAACTACCCCTCTCAACCAGTTTAAGATACAAACTAAGCACTACCTAACTCCCTGTAACCTACCTTACCCCTATAATATCAACCCACGTCTTATTTTTTTTAAACGATGCTGTTTGTCGACCAAATTGTATTTTTGCTGTTTTTCTGCCATGTTCCCCTTTTTTTATATTTTCTGAACACATTTCATACTTAATACTAATTGAGATTAAAGTTTTAGTACTTTTCCTGCCCGAAACGCTTTGCATAATAGTGGCTTTAAGCATTGTATTTAAGCATTGTATGTACTAGCTCTATCTATAAATTCATCAATATTTGTATCACCCCTTGTATGTACAGTATTTACTTTACCTAAATAAACATTTGAATTTGGTTAGTCTAATCTTTTAAAGGTCCTATTTTTATTTATTTATTTAATATTTTTATTTATTTATTTTTTATTTATTTAATATTTATTTATTTATTATTTTTATTTATTTATTTAATATATTTTTTTAGGTTTTGGCAGATTTGATTTGGTACTAAACTGCCACACAGGAACTTTTATACATACAGTAGTTTTATTTTCTCTTGGCCAATGATCATCGCAGATTTAAACTCTAGAAAATCGGTTTAGTTATCAAGGCTAGTTTTACTAGCCGACGTCCCTCTAATCTTTTAGCACATTCAAGTATAGTGATGACCTGCAAATGTTCCCACTAATATTCCATGTTCACCTATCGGTTCCCTCAGTGTGTGTAGTTCGTAAACCTTGTACGCGCTCAAATCTTTAATTACATTAACGACAAACTAATTGGCACTAATTATGACTACTCAAGTCCTTTCCCTAATTACAGGTAACGTTCATTCCATCCTGTTGGAGGAAGCAGAGGTGTAATCACCAAATATAAGCAAGCATTATGCGAATAGCAAACCACGGGAGACATCTCCTGTCACGCAGGGTGCAGTCGCACCTCCATAGATCTCCAGTATCAGCTCTTGATACTGTTAATGGCTCAAAAGGGCCGCCACTTATGGGCTATTCATGCCCGTGCCACGTTTTAGGTGGCTTAATCTTTATCAATCGATCGAATAGCAAACGGTAAGTTACAGCCCCGCTCCTGTGCCAGGTAAGTCTACAATGGGCTCGCCATAGCCTGTGCTACTTGCCCCGCTCCTGTGCCAGGTAAGTCCACTACGGGCTCACCATAGCCCGTGCTACTTGCCCCGCTCCTGTGCCAGGTAAGTCCACTACGGGCTCACCATAGCCCGTGCTACTGGCCCCGCTCCTGTGCCAGGTAAGTCCACTACGGGCTCACCATAGCCCGTGCTACTGGCCCCGCTCCTGTGCCAGGTAAGTCCACTACGGGCTCACCACCATAGCCCGTGCTACTGGCCCCGCTCCTGTGCCAGGTAAGTCCACTACGGGCTCACCATAGCCCGTGCTACTGGCCCCGCTCCTGTGCCAGGTAAGTCCACTACGGGCTCACCATAGCCCGTGCTACTTGCCCCGCTCCTGTGCCAGGTAAGTCCACTACGGGCTCACCATAGCCCGTGCTACTTGCCCCGCTCCTGTGCCAGGTAAGTCCACTACGGGCTCACCATAGCCCGTGCTACTTTGAACTTTTTGTTCCCAGTAGTTGAATCTTCAACACATAGCCAACAGTACAATTTCCATAGTCATTTGGAGAACCTCAAGAATGTAGTACTTGGCGTGTACAGTTCTAATAGACCCAAAGACGCTACAGCTTCGCACACAGAGCAGACTACGACCACATGGCTACAATGTTCTTGTTCCCTATAGTTTAAACACTAAAGACTCTCCATACGCCGCCACTCGCTCTCGCATAGAGCTCCGGCCTCACTCGGCTCTGTTCAAAGCTCTGTCTGAACGTCTACGACAATGCCAACAGCCAACTAGTGTAATAAAAACTATTAAATATGACTAAACAGTCTAATCTACCCAACAACGTAACAATCATACGTTACATGCAGTTCCCTCCCCTCTCTATACAGCAGTAATCTAGAAATTAAGACCTTTATTTGGGATTTTATATTGTAGTTAGTCTTGTAATATTGCACCATGGAGGAGGGATTAGATTTTTCCTACCTAAATTTGATTCGATTGTCTTCAGATGTTGGCTAAAGATCTAGAATGATGTTGCCTCTCGTAGGCTCTACTACTCGCTGTATGAGGGAAAAGTCTTGTACCAGGTCTAAATATTGTTCTGCTTGTGATGTTAGATTGAGTCGACGGTTTCATGGTTAGTCTAAAGAGTATTAGGGTTTGGATTTGATGGTGCGTTGATCATGTGCAGATCCATTTCTGCTGTGTCAGCCCTGTAGCATACTCTCACTGTCGGTTTGCTACCATCTTGTGCTAATGTTGCACCATACAGACTGAGGGTCCCATGGTGTTCAGTCCCTCTGGTGGTTGAATCCAGACCCATTTTCACATAGCATTACACCCACCTGATTTTGTTCATTATGGTAGATGGAATTCCCTTTCTATTTGTCCTCTCGTACCCATGTTTCAGAGGTACTAATGATGTCAAGATTCTCTGCCTCAGCATCTTGAGAGGTTATCTTGAGATGATTTCGTTTTTTTTTTTAGTGTCCCCGCGGCCCGGTCCTCGACCAGGCCTCCACCCCCAGGAAGCAGGCTGTGACAGCTGACTAACACCCAGGTACCTATTTTACTGCTAGGTAACAGGGGCATAGGGTGAAAGAAACTCTGCCCATGGTTTCTCGCTGGCACCTGGGATCGAACCCAGGACCACAGGATCACAAGTTCAGTGTGCTGTCCGCTCGGCCGACCGGCTCCCCATGCACACAAAATGCACCAAATTTATTTGCTAGGCTTCTGGCATATGTAGAAATGACTTACTCCTGTTATTCCTACAAGGGGAGGGAGGGGGGGGGATGGAGGAAGGAAAGCAGATTGCTTCTGTATTCAAGCTGTTACTATTCTGTACATTGTCACTGGTTATAAACTGGTTTGTCACCAAAAATGTATACTGTACTAGTTAGTCTTTCACCCAATCAGGCAGAACTATCCTGTGCTCCATTTACTACTTTGATCATCTACCTTCTCCTGATCTTTAGCTTAGATTTTTTTGCCTGGGAGCCAGTAACCGTAGTGACCTCGACAAGAACAGGAAGCCGGCGCATTGTCGAAGGTTCCCCCCCACCCTCCTTTTGCCTTTAATGGTCTTTGTATTGGTCTGTTTTTTAACTCCTTCAGTTTGCCTCTTGGCCTTGGCCCCCCTAGTTTTTCCCCCCCCCCCCTACTCCACCGAGATCTAGAGATGAATGTATTTACACAATCACAATAGCATGATGCATCAAATGAACAAATCCACAAGGGTCATGATGAGGGTATTGCAGGATCTGTCTAGTCCAGTGGAACTCCCGGTTGCAATTATTTTGACCATGTCATGGCCTGGTCGATTAAGGCAGCATCTGGGATCCTCTCAGACGTAGGTTTGAACCCTCATCATAACCCTTGTGGATTTGTTCATGAGTGTATTTGGTTATACATTTAGAGATCTCAGGTTGTGGGCACTGTTGGGTATCCTCTTTCTGTGTTCAAAATTTGTAATGGTTATGCGTACCATATTTGCTTCAGGCCTACCTAATCAGCTCAACATTGGATATACTGTACTTAATTCCTCCTTGACTTTCTCTACTATTGCCAGTGAGTAGAGAAATAGTTTTCACTATAGTAGGTCATTCTTGTCCTTTTGCAAGGTTTCTTGAAAAGAGGCTGGATTCGTCTTTGCCTATCCATGGCTGCTGCATGGGGAAGTCAGGGAAAGTCCTGAGCACCTGCACCTGGTCGTCGACCAGGAGGCCTGGTCGACGACCGGGCCGCGGGGACGCTAAGCCCCGGAAGCACCTCAAGGTAACCTCAAGGTTGCCTTGTGACCTTCAAGCAGTTCCATTACGATATCTTTATTCTCATGGATTAATTCCTCTAAGATTCCAGCTACCGTTTCATTATTTGCATCAATTGATGAAAATTCGTCAGTATTTTAAATACTAGTGAGCAGACTTGTGCGCTATTTTCTGTATAGATTTTTCCACTTCAATACCTCACTAGACCTAGCTTGGCAGGTCCTAGACTACCTCCATGTTTTTTTTGTTACTTTTCTTCCTTAGGTGGTATTGTCACACAGTCTGTCTTTATGTTCCTTGCAACCCTTCACTTGAATGCAGGCGATGAGTCACAATAACATGGCTAAAGTATGATGACCAGACCACACACACTAGAAAGTGAAGGGATGACGACGTTTCAGTCCGTCCTGGACCCTTCACTTTCTAATGTGTGGTCTGGTCTTCACTTGAATAGTATATCTTCCCAGAACACTGGCATCTAATTTTTTGTCCATTCCAGTCATTACTCCTACAGGGTCATTTGTATGGCTAAACAGAGTTGATTTCATAGTTAAAGTTTATAGTGAAAACTATTTTGCATATTTGGAAGAATCTCAAGTGTTTGGGTAAAAATGTTAAAGGCTAATTTTTTTTTAAAGATGTAATGGCAGATCTGGTGTCTTGGGAAAGTTTTGTACATATTTCTTGGTCATTATAACTGGTTCTTGCATTCCTCCTACTTTACTAACTTGTGAAACGTGTCTCGTTCAGAATTGCCAACTGTTTCTGCACTATATATTTTTCCTCTTTCCAAATTGTGTGCAATTCCTTACCCATTCCATGGAGGCAAGTCCTACAAAGCCCCTCACAGAAGCTTTTACTGCCGCCTCTATTGAAAGCCCTGCACACTTGCAGTGTCATCTCTCGTATGGGTCCTACCTTACCACATTGGAGCGCCTTGTTTAAATTTTGTAATAATAACGGTGAAAGTGTGTAGGCCCCCCCCCCCATCCCTATCCATATCTTGAGTGCTCCAATGATATCTAAGTATCTAGTACCGGCCCCGGAACTCTTAGTTCCTGCGACGGCGCTGGAACCAATCGTATTGGCGTATGCCTTTCCATTGGAGACTTTCAGCGCTATGGAGAGGGGGGACCTGCTGCCTGGGTAACAGCTTCTCCCCAGAATCAACCTACCCTGGCTTTGCGCCCTGGTGAGGCCACTCCAGACTGACAACCAGAGCACAACTCCATAGTCTCCTGAGACTGATGGATGCCTACTACTACTAGTATTAAGTATTTATTAATAAGTATTAAGTATCTACGTGGACTAATTACTTACCTGTTTCCTCTAGCAGGCTGGAGAGGGAAACTTGGGGGTTCCCTCCCTTAAGCCCCTGTGTCCCCTTGCCAGGTGAAAGCTAGTGCCAGTGAAGGGAGAATTCCTTTTGTTTACCTCTTTCAATATGGCTCACCTGTCTACTCTTGTACTGGCATCTGGAATGTCTAGGAACTCTTGCATAGTGCCTCCATCTGCAGCACAAACATGCGTGATGCCACCACTAGGCTTTCCTTACCTTAGGTCTAAGAAGTAGATCAACAATTTAAAGGGCAACTCGTGGAGCACTATAGCCCTTTTATCGTAATCAGTGCCTCAACATGGCAGTGTTTACAACTGTTGGTGCATAAGACATGACTAACTTTAAGACTGTTTGAGGCTAAGTAATTACTGGGTTCAAGGCCTCTGCATAAATATATATACCAAAGGTGTTGGTATTAAGCTTTAGGAGCTTCCATGTATTATTTCTAAATTAGTTTGAGGGTATCCGATTACCATATAATTTCATACTTTTATTTTAAATCTTTACACTAAAAATGTATTCCATGTATCAAAATAAAAAGACTAGTTCAATAAATATCTTGCCATTTGAAATGGCAGAGAGGTTTTTAACAATGTCCCGACTATCTTATGTACTCGACACCTGGTACTCGTTACTCTTTATCATCACGGCACCATCTGTAAGCTGTACTATACAGCTGCTTAAAGACATACTGTACATGTTCCTTTGTGAGAGGCAATAACTTGTACTGACATAATTTATGGACAACTTCAGTTGTATCCTGTATATTTTAAGACCACATCTGAAAGTTATAAGCTCAAGAGAATTTGAACTCTAAAGCTATCTACTTTATTAGTTTTGTATAATCAACAAGATTAGTATATTTTAAAATGGATTATAAACACCTTTGTTTACATTGGCTGTCTTGACTCGGAAGCTGGACCTGTGTATTATACAAGCTCCAATGTACCACAGCTTGCAGCAGGGCTTCTATAGATCAAGGCACGGTGAATACTGGAGCTAAAATACTTACTTAAAAATGGGCTCATTTCTTTAAGGCCTTAAACATCATTTAAAGCTAACGGCACAAATCCCTACCCAGAAGAGGGAAGGTCTGCAGATTCGATTGAGTACAGACAAAACTGGGTCTAGTGGAGCCACTGTGGGATAGAGCCATACTTCCTGGTCCTACACTACTCAGTTTCGTTGGAACAAATGTACATCTCTAGCTTGAAATACTGCTGGTGTTGTATACCTAAATTCTCATCTGAAAGAAAAACAAGCAAAATTAGTTTTGCAATCATATGCATTAAAATATATACAAAAATTTTAAGTTAAATTGACTGCAGTGCATTAGATTTTGCATTGTCGAACACTATAATGTGTTGCATTGGTACACAAACCAAAATATTTGTTACACAAGCATGAAAATCCAGGAGCACCAGTATTTGGACTGATGAGGGTTATATCTTGAGGTTATCTTGAAATGCTTTCAGGGCTTTAGTGTCCCCGCGGCCTGGTCCTCAACCAGGCCTCCACCCCCAGGAAGCAGCCCGTGACAGCTGACTAACACCCAGGTACCTATTTTACTGCTAGGTAACAGAGGCATAGGGCGAAAGAAACTCTGCCCATTGTTTCTCGCCGGCGCCCGGGATCGAACCCGGGACCACAGGATCACAAGTCCAGCGTGCTGTCCGCTCGGCCGACCGGCTCCCCGAGCGGTGCCCCGTATGTTGGGATGGAGTTAAAGGTGGTGGCCCCCTCTGGCATCCAAAAGTCAAAGTGGACTGATCATGGTTGTCGGGGAGGAAGCAGGGGAATCTTTACACTAATCATAATCGGCCCCACTGAATTGCAAAGATAACTTTTGATAGTTGCATCTTATTCACCTCTGTTGTTGTGTTTGGAGGTGTCAAAAATTTTGTTCAGGAGTGTTACCTGCCCATGCCAATTCTATACTTCCTGGAAGTTGGTCATGGTAGTGAAATCTGTCTTAGGTGTTCTCTTGCCTTCCGTGTGGCAATTCCTGACATGTGAATTCATTTGCTCCATTAATTGAGGTGACCATTCTGCATTTATTTATATATACTGTACAAGATTTCTTACTTTCTTGTAAAAGTATTCTCCATCTTGTGCTTACTATAAGATGAAGCAGTCTATTTACAACCTTTAGCATGAAAATAACATCTCCTTTTCAGACATGAGAGACAAACCAAGATGTCTATGCCTCTTCCAGAACATAACTTAAACACTTTCAGCTTGTCCACAACCTCTGACCTACTTTCCTTATGTTCCCAATACAAATTTTTTTTCCCTGTACTGTATATCATTTTGTATTGAACTGCCCAAAATGCTATGCGTGCTAGTGGCTTCACAAGAATGAAAACATCAATGCTATGTACTCTCATAAACTCAATGTACCTTCTTGTATACAGTATATATAAATAAATATTTGTGCACACAATATCGGCTTCCTTACAAAGATTTATTCACGTTCCAAACTGGTGTACTCTGTCCCTGTGCCACTTAATGAATACAGTCACAACCTGCCACCATGAAGAGCTGTTCTGCCATTTTGCACTGTTCACAATCTGTTGCAATTTTTTTGTTAGAATTTGGGATATTGGATCTGTACCTGAGGCTTGGCTTGAAGCTATTATTCTATCTATAAATCCAGGATGCAGGGCACCTCGTTAGGCCAATGTAACAAAACATATCCCTTCAAAGAGAAGGGATAAGACAAAACTGCAACTGCCAACCCAAGGCCACACAGGCCCGACAAGGCCCAGGAACATCAACGAAGGAACGCAGAGCCAACCTACGAACGACTAGGGCATGGGGACAGACAGCAGGCTGGCAGAACCGAACCACCCCGCAGACGACCTGAGAGAACCGCCCCCTGGAACAGGGAAGAAGGGAACCCGGAACAACCCAAAGTGTGACCCCTGGTCACGGTAGCCGTGGCACGCCAAACACGGCGAAGTGCCGCAACTGAACACAACACATGATGCACCCCTGGCCAGCCACTCTGCGCCAGAAAAGAAGGAGACGGCTGCAAGTGAACAAACCTATCAAGAGAACCAAAAGAGCTGAAACCCAGGCACCGGAAGAGGGCATGAAGCACCCCAACCCGACCCCCAGAGGCCAACGCCAACAAGAAATGAGCCTCAGAAAACAATCCAGAACTGAAGAGGCAACAACAAACCAAGGAGAAAAGAAGAGAGCAACGCAATCCAAGAACCAGGACGGCTCAAGCAGCGCAAGAGCAGGCTGGAGGTAGGTGAACCACGCCAGAGACAGCTCGCTAAGCAGTGCAGAGGAAACTCCAAAACTGAAGCAATCCGGAATGGCTCCGCCAGCGCCACACGAGACAAGGCGACAGTATGTGGCAAAATGACGACCCTGAACCTCCACGAGAGAAGACAAGACCACACCAACAAAATGCAGCAAACCTACGAAGGGACAAAGAAAAAGAAAGGACCGCCAAAAAAAACCCTACACCACCACCAAAATGAAGCATGCAGGTGGGACACCATCAACGAAGCTACCTGACCACCAACAGATGGTGAGAGATTCGAGGCAGAATCGAACCAGCCCCGCCATGGACCGATCAAGCATAGGAAGAGGCGAAGCCACTGGAAAATCTCGGGTGCGATCACCAAGCAAGTAGGGCCGGAAACCCAAGCTGGCAAGGAATGAGATGGAACATCTGCCGTACAGAAAACTTCCCAATGCTAGCGAGTTCGCCAGGAGATCGGAGACACTGGTTCCGATGTGAGACTCGTGAGAAGTGACACCGCGAGATCTTTAAAATGCCAACAGGTAGGGTAAGCCAGGAAACCAGAAACACAAACCTGGCAAGTCAGGAAAGAACCAAACACAGGGGCAGTGCAAAAACAGGGAACTGAACATGAACAAAGTCCAACCTAGCAGTAGGAGAGCCAAGAGGCACATACTAAAACACACAACAATGTGTAAGAGAATGAGAAAAAAATGGAAAAAAGCAAGAAAGACCAGAAAAACGGCCCCAGCACCAGCAGCTAGGGACAAGAGTGTAGAAGGAAGATGAGGAACGAGGAAGAGGAGTCACCCTGAGACAAGGGGACAGAGCAACCCTCGAACTCGCACAAAGCGAGGGGGTGACTCAGGGGTCACATCCATTGGACTCACGTGTCCCCATGGGGATTTCCAGGGTCCTGAGACTGAACTCACGCTCAGGAAAGTCCAGGCAGGGTACTGCTAACCGGCACCCAAGTCTACCAAACAACTTTCTAAGAACTGAACCCCCCAGGACGTGTACACTCACGGGGACCTAGCAGGGGGAACCACCGGAAGAAAGAAGAGTACTCAGTACACAGGGGGCAATAACCAAGGCAGACCCTCCCACCAGGCCGGCAAACAAAAAGAAAAAGAAAACCCCGCAAGAGGACAGCGTACCCAGGCGGAACAGAGCCGGCCACTATGATTGGTGAAAACAAGCTACACAGTACCCTGCGCCTCTACCAGTGCAAACTGCCCCCTACCCTAAGGCAAACAAGGGCAAGGGAGACAGAACACCCTAGCACACAAAGGGCGGCTGAAAACCAAGCAGTAAATGGCCTAGCCGAGGCAGAACCCAAGGAACCTGTGGAAGGTGGCCCTAAGTCCCAAGGGCAGTACTTACTGGGCACCTAGGGAAGGAAACCCAAGGCACATGCAGCCGGAGTACTGAAGAATCACTCCTGGCTCACACACCACCTAGAAGACAGGCACCACACACAAGGCACAGTGCTGAAACAACCACTGGAGCCAGAACACATGACTGTTGCCTATAGCATCAGCCTCAGAACTGGGGTCTGGGGCTCCCCCTTCCCCCTCCCGCGGAGGGGGGAGCTGCGCAGATGGCGGCACGGCGACGTGTGACGTAATATTCATTTCCTCATTTCTGTTTGGGGAGTTCTATTCACTTATTCGGCTTTTTGTAGCAATTTTCACCAGAATAGTGGTATGTTACGGGACGCCTACCTTTCTGGATGCCTAACCCTGTCGATGGCAGACATAGAATGCTTCCAACCACACGGGAGTTTCTATAGGCCATTGCTCTTCGTGTCTCTGTGAGGGGGGGGCCAGGTTCTGGCTCATGGTCCCCAGTAGGCCTACAGAACTCCATACACATGACTGATGCCAAAGTCTGACATTTCAGCCTGGATAGCTTCGGGGAGCTGACTGGGCTCCCCCAAGAAAAACAGCGTTGAATGTAATGAAATGCCATTTTCTAGGTGAGTCCTGGAGGCTCCCTGGAGCTATCCAGGCTGATATGCATATAGTAGACCGTGGCATCAGTCAATTTCATTAGAGTTCTTAGCCTACTGGGGACCACAACCTGGCCCCCTCAGAGAGGTACGAGGAGCAATGGCCTATATAAACTCCCTGTGTGGTTGGAAGCATTCTGTGTCTGCCATCTACTGGGTTAAGCACCCAGAAAGGTAGGCGTCCCAAAACAGACTCCCCCTGGTGAAAACTACTACAGATAACCGAACGATCAAGCAGAACTCCATAATCTGAAAGGCCTGTGGAGTGCTGAAGAAACAAGCAAACAATCATGATGGCACAACCGCCGCCGTGCCGCTGTCTGCACAGCTCCCCCTCCCCCCAAATCCTCAGCAGCCTAAAGGGAAAGAACCTGCATGTGAAGCTGCAAAACACCAACATCTCGAGAAAGCACAGTGGAAGTCTCCTGCCAATCAAGCGTGCAGGTCCAACAAAACCCATGCCACGCCCTCAACGAAAAGAAAGGACAGTCTGCCAACCAGGAAGACTCTGGTACCTCGTAGCGCACCCAATAAGGGAAAGTCGAACCCAACTCAAAAGAAGCCGGAGCTATCACCGAGGCGTAATCCGGGTCTCGCAGGAGGTAAGTCGTGATAGCCTCCCGAACCTCTTTTGGCGGGATTCGAGAAGCCGAATACCACTGGAAGGAAAGAATCGAAGAATCCAGGAAACCCGGAGAGGAGCTGAACCCAAATCATACTTTTACAGGGAAGGGGGGTACGAAAGTCCTTCCCCCTGCAACAACAAAACTCGTGTTGAGGGTACCAACACCCAAGCGTGGTCAAATGGGATCCAAGTCCCCCAAGTTAACTCCTCCCCAGCCCTGAGATTCTCTATGTCAAGACCCAGGGCTGAGCCATTCTCCACATCCTCTGCCCCTACAGAAAAGACAGAGTCCAGGGGAAATACTGAGAAGAAGGGGGTCCGCTGGTAAGACCCGAAAAGCCTCGGTATGAG